AGAGAAGAGAGAGCATCAGTTCTGCTGAGACCTCTCCTGCCTCTTCAACCACAGCCACTCATCACTGACTGAGCCCACAGCCACCCAGGGACTGCAGTGCCCCTTTATGTCCAGAAACCCTCTTTATGTCCAGTAATCTCCTTTATTCCCAGAAACCCCCTTTACTCCCAGAAACCCCTTTTACTTTCAGAAATCCCTTTTATGTCCAGAAATCCTCTTTATGTCCAGAAACCTCCTTTATGTCCAAAAACCCCCTTTATGCCCAGCAATCCCCTTAATATCCAGAAATCCCCTTTACTTCCAGAAATTCCCCTTATTTCCAGAAACCCCCTTTATGCCTGCACTGCCCGAGGTGTGTCCTGTGAGGGCCTGGGATAAATCAATCCCTGCTTTGGTGTGGGACTCTGCCAGCCCTGCCCCAGGGAGCTCTGGGCATCACTGCCCGAGGTGTGTCCTGTGAGGGCCTGGGATAAATCAATCCCTGCTTTGGTGTGGAACTCTGCCAGCCCTGCCCCAGGGAGCTCTGGGCATCACTGCCCAAGTGTCCCCAAGTGCCACCTCCACAGGGCTGTCACCCCCAGGGATGGGCACTCCCCAGAACCCCCCAGAGCTGTTTCCCCCAGCCCTGGGCAGGGTTGGGCTCTGCCCTCTCCGCTCCCTGATTCCTCTCTGGGCATCACCATCAGCTCTGCAGGAAGAGGATTTTCCCTGCCTTGGTAACATCTCAGCTACATTGAGATGTTTGGGAGAATATAGGAGCAGCGTTTGTTTCACAATAAAGCCATAAAAACACACGGCTGCAATTTGTAAGGAGATCTGTGCAGAAGATCCAGACACATCAACCTCCAGCTGACTGTGTCTGAATTATTAAATCAATATTTTATTCTTTTAGAAGGAAAAATATCACATCTGAGGGGAAAATTATTTTTAATACACACAAAACACAGTCCTTGAAACTCTCGGCTTACCATGCCTACACTCACAGCCCACTCAGATGGAGAAGGTCTTTATTAAAAATGCTCTTTAAAGTTAAATGAATTCTTGTTTTGCAGGCAGTGCCTGTTCCAAGCAGAAGCACAGCTTTGCTGTGATTCTGGGGAAAGGCTTTTCTCTTCAAAGGAGAAACAAGAGAAATATACAAAAAAAAAAAAAAAAAAAAAGATATTTTCTTTCATGGGGTAAAGCCTGGTCTAAGGATTGACTGGTTTGGGTTGGAGGGACCCCAAATGCCATCAGTGCCACCCCTGCCATGGCAGGGACACCTTCCCCTGTCCCAGCTGCTCCAGCCCCAGTGTCCAGCCTGGCCTTGGGCACTGCCAGGGATCCAGGGGCAGCCACAGCTGCTCTGGGAATTTTGGTGGTTCATCCCCACCTGGTGCCTGGTTCAAACCCAGTGATGGCCACGCTGATTCCAACAGGCAAACGTGGACAGGTTCATTTGGAAAGCTTCCAGTGAGTCCTTCCAGCTCAGACATGCCCCAGCAGAGCTGGAGACCCCATGTCCTTGAAAAGCTGCCTGGAAAGTGCAGCTCAAGCAAGCAGGAGATTTTACAAAGACAGGTTTTTTCTCTCTAAATAAATAACAAGCTGAGCAAGAAGAGGAGTGTTCAGAGAATGCTCAGTGAATTGGCAAAGATTTCTCTGCCTTTTTTTAAATCAAACCCTTCATTTTATCAGCAGCTAACTCCAAAATGATCAGCTACAGAAGGCACTGGGGAGAAGGAGATGATCTTTAAGGTCTCTTCCAAGCCAGACCGTTCAATGATTTACCTTGAAAATTATCCTCAGAGTTAAATATTGGCAAATTATTCACTTATATTAAAGAAGGAGAAGGGAAGGGGATGGGGTTGTGGTCTGCAGTGAAGATGAGAGCACAGGATCAGCTCTCTGACTGTAAAAAAAAACCAACAAAAATGAATCCTTGCTTCTCTCCCAAAGCCAAGCCCTGCCGAGCACCTGGATAAGGAAACACAATGGATCAAAAAGCAGCTGTAGGCTCCTCCCTCCCTCAAGGAGAGGAGGGACAAAAGTTCAATTTAGAGCAATTTTGACAAATGTGAAGCATCCAGTCAGGGCTGAACCCAGTTCCCTGTCTGAGAGGAACTCCTTACAACTCCTAAAAGCTCCAAGGCAGCTCCAGGTCTCTCTCTGGGAAGGGAAACTGGGAGAAACTGGGAATGCTGGAGATGCAGAAATTATGTTTTTCCTTGGAAAGGGAAAACTCCATCTCCCTTCCAAGGAAAAGCATCATTTCTGCATTCCTGGTTTCTCCCATTTCCCTTCCCAGTGTGGAAGCTTTAAACACAACCACCTCAGGTGGAAGGAGCCCGTGGAGAAGTGCCTGGATCCAGGAGGGCTCTGAGAAAGGAGAATTCAGCGAGGCAGCAGTGCTGGGAAACACAAAGTGTGGCCACTCCACTGGCACCCGGGCACAAATCAGCTGGAATTGCTCCCAGCAGCAAGCCCAGAGCATCTCGCTGTGAATCCAGAGGAGTAAATTCGGAGTCTCCTGGGAACTCTGCCATCATTTGTTCTCATTTCTCTGACTTCTCTTCATTTCTGCTCGGGATTAGCTCTCCCAGCAATGATCACAGCAACAGGGAAACCTGCTCCCAGGAGAGTGGCATGAAAGCAATATTTACCAAAGTAAACCCAAGCAAAGAAATCAAAATATGAAGAACGAAGTTTTAAAAAAAAAACACAAAGTCACAAAGTACTTCAAAAAGAGAACCAAAATGGCTTTAACTCTTGCTCAACCACTAAAACATCTGTAACCTGGTTGGGAGGCTGAAAAGCAGAGAAAAAACCATCCCAAACTCACCTCCCAAAATCATCCTTTGCACATGTTCACATTGCCCACATTGTGCACAGTTTGTTCCCTCAGGATTTTGCATTTTACCTAAATGAAGAAAAGCCACATAACATTATCACCTTTGATTTTTCCTCCTATTTATCTTGGGTTCAGAGCACTACGAGCCAGCCAAGGATGTGAGCACACAAACTGCTCCTCACATTATCCAAGCAAAACCATTATTAGCATTTTATTGGCACATGAAGCCAAAATGAGCAAGCTCAGCCCCTTGGCAGCCCGCTCCACCTTGATTTAGCTTTTAATGGCAATTTCCAATGTTCAGTGCCTTGTCCTCGGGGAGGCAAACCCTGAGCTCCTTCTGGAGACAGCCTGGGCTCACTCTCCTCCCCAGGGATCCAACCAACCCCAAATGAAGCTGCTCTCCATGCCCTGGCCTGGCTGCCTGGGGAGATGCCAGGGCTGTCTGCCAGTGCTCTTGGTTGAACTGAAAACCATTAAAAACCACTAAAAAACCATTAAAAACCACTAAAAACAATTAAATCCATTCCACTCCTTGCCATGTTTTTCCACCTTGAAAACTGAAGACAAGGCAGCCATCCAAAAGGCCCAGGGCACTCACCTGAGCAGGAGCACACCCAGGAGACCCCTCAGGGGTGTGACCCCACGGAGCAGCCGGAATGCAGCAGGGGACAAGGAAAGCAGCACCTGTGGCAGGTGGCAGGGCTTGGGTCAGCCCTTTTCCTTGTCCCTGCCCACCCCACAGGCAGGAATCCCTTCCCAGTGTCCCACTAACCCTGCCCTCTGGCACTGGGAAGCCATTCCCCCTTGTCCTGGCACTCTGAAGTACTCCAGGTTCGTTTTTCCAAGGCAGCAGAAAGTTCCTTTATGGCCTTGATTATAAAAATATCCAGCACACACCTAAATAAAAATTACTGTGAGTTAGAGAAAATATCCTCCTCGCTCCAAGCAAACAGAAATCTGTGGATTTAAGGAGCAATAACTTAAAATGTAGGTCTCCTGAGGAAAAAAAAAATCACAATCAGAGCATCTTTGGAGCAGCACAGAGATGTCCTGATGTTCCTCCAGCCACACCCTACCTGTGCAGCCAGAGTGACTCTTTTGTTCCCAATATCCTCAGATTTCCGATGGATCTCACTGAATTTGCACACAAATCTTGATTGGCAGGAGCCCCCTCTGGTTTTCCATCTCTCCAGGAAAAATCACCAGCCCTGTGTCATTTTCCCCATTATTTCCTGGAATCCCAGAGTGTCCTGAGCTGGAAGGGACCCACAAGGATCCAGTCCAACCCCTGGCCCTGCACAGACACCCCAACAACCCCCACCCCATCCCTGACAGCATTTTCCACTTGAGTTCTGGCAAAAAAAACCTCTTCAAAAAATTTCACCCTTGAAATCAGGCTTGAAATGCTTCTTAATTACAAAAGTTAAATATTTATTTATACAAATATGATGAGAAAAATCTCATGCAGACTCTTCACACACAGGAACAGAACCCAAATCCGACTGGGATGGCTTCACCACAGAACTGGGGTTGGAAGGCTGAGGGGAACCCTGCCCACGGCAAGTTCTGGGTCGGAGAGTTCTCCTACGGAACATGTGCCAGGATTTCCACACTCTTCACCAAGATTAACAATTAATAGCTGATTACTACTACTCAGAGGACTGGACAGAGACGGATGAGCAGCGGGAGCGGGTCCTGCAGACCACCAGACCCCACGCACTTGGTGGAAATGCAGAGTTGCCAAAAGATTGCTTGAGATAATTCCCCTAAATGATGGAAATGCCTTGAGATCGCTCTGGATGGCATCTGCTTCTGCTTAATTATAAATCTGCATCGGAGTCATAACTTGTGTATATTACAAGTAATTTGCATAATTAAAACAATTAAGGGATCGACATATCACGGCAATTAGAAACGCATCAAACTCTGGATGTTGTACAAAAGAGAGCTTCAATATGAAACATTAATTCTTTGAGAACGAACCATCCTTCCCATTCCTGCAGAGCAGCCTTCCCCAAAGCGGCGGGCGCTGCCCAAACTCCGTTCAGGGGCAGCTTTCCCTGGGGCCTCCCGCTGCTGCTCCGGGACCCCGAGGTTTCCTCTTCCTTGGAATCCCTTCCCGCAGCCCAGCCCGGGCACGTGTCTTTATCGCCAGCTCCGCTCGCTCTTATCTCATTTTCCGTAGCCTTATCCTGTTTTCCTTGTCCCTCTTTTTGAGGATGAGGATGAACTGGTTGAAGAAATGCTCCTGGTCCTTCTTCTTCTGGACGAGGCGGAAGCGCTGGTCGCGGCCGTGCTTCTCGGCGAACTCCTTGAAGGTTGTCCTGTGGAAAAGGGGACCTGGGGAAGCCGGGCTGTGCCTGCCACCCCAGGGTGCTGCCCTGCAGCCACACCAGGGACCAGGGGAGGGGAGAGCGCGATGGAGGGTCCGGGATGGAGGGGGTGAGCCACGCCAGGGTCTGGGCACTGGGGCAGCGGGCAGGGACTGAAATGGGATTTCACTTGGGCTGGTGGCTGGCAAGAGGCTGCTGAGCCATTAAAGCCAAAGCAAGGCTCACAGAGCTGAAATGAAACCACCGACAAGGGGGTTTTATTTCAGCTCCTGCGTGTTTTGGATTTCCAAGGCGAGCTCTCTCCTAGCAGGGTTTGCTACCTTCATTGCCTTTCAGGCTGCACGCCCAGCTCCTTTCCCCAAGGTGACTCTTTGCTTTTTATTGGAAATATTTGGGATTTATTCCTCTCATTGTGTGCCTAAATCAAGGCAGGGAAAGGAGCTTCCTCAGTGCTTTGTTGTCACAGTCAGCCCCCCAAAAACCCTTCAGGGGTGAAATGCTCCCGGCCTCTGGGCCAGCGCAGCTTTTCCCCTGGGCACTGGGAATATCAGTGCTGGAAGCAGAGTTTGGGTGGGACATCAGCCCAGAATATCCCTAATTTTGTTGTAAAATGCTCCTTGTAATTACAATTGCTACAGGCCCCACGTGCTGTTTGGATCCGTGTGCCCACGCAGGTCGTGCTGAATAATTATCTGCATGTTTTATCAGAGAAAACAGTCATTTCTTTGTTCCAGCAATTTAACAATATTTATAACATAAACCCCTTTATTTTCATGTAATTTACAAATGAGAAAGCACTGCCCTAAGCACTGCCACTGTGTGAGTCTGGATCCATCGCCAGAAAAACAAAGTAAAACAGAAATTGTGCCTTGCACACTGTATTTTAATTTAATCACAGAATTGTAGAGTCACAGAAGGGTTTGGGTTGGGAAAGACCTCACAGATCATCTTGTTCCAACCCCCTGCCATGGGCAGGGACACATTCCATGAATTTAATGGCGTGGCATTAACAGGAACTTTGAGAAATTATATTTCTCTTCCACCAAACCCCAAGACTAAATGCAATTTCTGAGTAATTACACCTGCATGCGTAACATGGATGAGACTGAGCATTGTGGTACTGATTTTCCATAAGTAATGGGTGTTCTGTAATCACTGCATACACAGGAATATAAAATAAATGTGCTGTGCAAAGTGTTGCACATTCTGAGGGGGAGAGGGAGAGAGGAAGGGACAGACAGAGGGAGAGGGGGAGAGGCAGATGGAATATTTCCTCTCCCAGGAATACAACAAAATACTGGAAAATATCAGGGAAGAAATGCCACCCCAGCATTGGAACAGGCATCTTTCTCTTGCTAGGAAGAATTCTGGGCTGGAAAGCTCGGCCTAAATGACAAAGCCAAGCTTCCCAACCCTTCCTAAGGCAACACCCACCTTGGAGATAGCTTGGATTCTTCCAGAAGCTTCTTGAATTCTTCCTTGGCCAACAGCAGTTTGTTCTTCTTCTCCTTGTACTCCTCCCTGACCCGGGTTTTGACAAACTGCTCGAAAATCTGGCCAGGGAAGAGACCCAGGACAAGGAGTTATGGACAAAGCCCTTGGGGAATTTGGGCAAGCCCAGGGCCTCCCCACGTGTCCAGGAGTTTTTATTCCATCACCTCCAAGGACTGGCCCTCTCTCCTGGCTGCAGTTGGGCTACCCTTTAATCAAAGGGTAGCAGTGTTGATATGGATCCCAGAAGCCCAGACTGGTTTGGGTAGGAAGGACCTTAAAGCCCAGGCAGTGCCACCCCTGCCACCCTGCCCAGGCTGCTCCATGGCTGATAAAATGATTCCATGGCTCCAAGGAATGTCTCTTGATTGACTCATCATGTCCAGGAGTTGTTCTTGCCCATTCCCTGAAATAAATCCCAAACTCCCTGCTCAGGCTCTTTAGCAGGCACTTTCCATCCTGGCAGCTCCTCATACATTTTCATTCCTGTTTTTCCTCACTGGTTTTGTTTCACTTTTTTTCCTTAGGAAAGGAGATATTGGAAAGGGAGCAAATGAAGATGTATGTGGCCAGTTCTGTGGTAAATACCTAGAGGAAGCTCTCTGGAGAACCACAGGACAATATGGAATAAGTTCATTTTTCATCCTGTTTATTTAAAAAATGGATGATTCCATATTCAAAATTATTCCTTCTGCAGGATGACAAAGACTTTTAGGGCAGAGAAATAACCACAGAACAGCAGTGTTCACCTTCTCTGCAAATCCCTGCATCTCTCCTGAATTCTGTAGCCTCATCTGCAGACTTTGGGATCCCTAGTGATCATTAATGCCCAAATTACCAAGGCAGCAGAACCCCACATCCCTTCGGAGCTCCCCAGAAAAAACAACCCTTGCAGAGAGCCCCCAGTGCTCTGTCCAGTGGGGTCAGCACCAAACCCTGCCAGACCCCTGGGAAAGGTCCTGAACAATGGAAATCCAGCAGTGTCTCTGCACTATCCCAATAATCCAGGACAGAACTGTTCCCTTGGGGCCATTTCCCTCCTACAGCCAGGTCCCTATTTCCAGGTTCCCTGTTCCCAGGTCCCTATTCCCAGGATTCCCAGGCTCAGGAGCTGTTCCTGCACCCCAAGTGTCCCTGAGATCAAACCTTGGAACACCTGCTTGTCCAAGGAGAGAGCCCTGGGAACCACAGAACATCCTGAGTGGGAAGGGACTCAGAGTCCAGCTCCCAGACCCCCAAACCCCACAGAGTCCAACTCCCAGGCCCCCAAAACCCCATAGAGTCCAACTCCCAGACCCCCCAAACCCCACAGAGTCCAGCTCCCAGACCCCAAAACCCCACAGAGTCCAGCTCCCAGACCCCCTAACCCCACCCTGTGCCCGGTGAGCATTCCCCCGATGGGTAGAGCCAAACCTGTGCGTGTGCAGAGGGAAATTCTGATTTTACGGAATTCTTTCCAACTCCCAGACCCCCCAAACCCCGCCCTGTGCCCGGTGAGCATCCCCCCGATGGGCAGAGCCAAACCTGTGAGTGTGCAGAGGGAAATTCTGATTTTACGGAATTCTTTCCAACTCCCAGACCCCCCAAACCCCGCCCTGTGCCCGGTGAGCATCCCCCCGATGGGCAGAGCCAAACCTGTGAGTGTGCAGAGGGAAATTCTGATTTTACGGAATTCTTTCACCTTCCCAGGATAAGTGCTGCAGGAGCTGGTTAGTCTGGGGGTGTTGGCTGCAGGCAGGCCGGGCTGGGGCACAGCTCACAGCTCACAGCTCACTCACCTGCCTCCTCTCCTCGGGGTTGAGCAGGAGGTAGCGTGGGTCAAACACGATCTTGTGCAGCTCCTTCTCCCACGTGGAGAACGCCGACACCTGGGGCACAGACAGCAGGGCTGGCTGAGCACGGGGCAGGGCTGGCTGCTCCCGGCCTGAGGAGCCCTGGGCAGCATTCCTGGCGTGGCTGAAGGTGGGTTTGAATCTCGGGCAGAGCTCTAGGGGCCCCTCAGGGCCAGGATGGACTTGCTGCTCAGCGGGGCTCTGGGAGATGCTCCCTCCCCAGCCGTGCTGGAGGAGCCTGCAGCAGGCAGGAAATGCCATTTTGTGCTGCTGTTGGAGCAGCAGAGGCACCAATGCCCACGGAAGGGACAACTCCAACTCCAGAGCTGGAGCTGTGACCAGCTGAGGCACGCAGGGAAGGCTGGCAGTGAACACCCTAAAGCACCACACTCCCCATTGGGATGGGAATGTCTCATCCTGCAGGGCTGCTTCCAGCCTCGTGCAGTCATGGAATCACGGAGCATTTTGGGCTTGGAAGGGACCTCAGAGACCACCCAGATCCATCCCCTGCCTGGCCAGGGACAATTCCACCAGTTCAAAGCTTCTACAGCATCCCTGCTAATGCACTGGCGACAGAAAAATCTAAAGGAAATAAAATATTCTAATCAGTCCAACTAATTACAAAAGAGTGAATTCACTAAAAAAAAAAAAAAAAAGGATGTGAAGTATAATTAAACAGTAATTAACACTCCAGCAGGAAAGCTCTGATGAAGCAAAGTGGCTTTAAGTGGACTCATTTTCCTCTCAGAGCAGCTTGAGATTGGAAAACCCAAAGCTCAGGCTGCCTTGGGGATGTGAGGCCATTGGGATACCCAAAGCTCAGGCTGCCTTTGGGATCCGAGGCCTTTGGGATACCCAGATCTTGAGCTGCCTTTGGGATCCGAGGCCAGGTCCCCCCAGCACTCCCTTCCCACAGCCCGAGCTGCCCTCCCTGTGCCCCCTTGTCCTGGTGTCTCCTCTTTTCCTGGTGTCTTCCACGCTCTCCTGGACATCAGCTTTGTTCCCTGCACAAATCCCCCTCTGAGCTAAGGCTAATTAAGCTCAGATTAGTTCATCACATAATCATTCCAGCTGATGATTTTGTGCTTAGCAATTATTACACTGCACATTTGGCAAAGATCACCTAAAATAACCTGGTGTTTCTGATTTCATTCCAGGTACACTGCACACACAAATCCCCCTCTCTCCCCAGGATTAAGAAGGGAGAACCTTGAGGAAAAACACTCCCTGGAATCCTTTCAGAAGCCTTGAGAGCAGCCAGCAGGGAGAAGGCCTTCCTGGAAATGCTGGCTTAGAATGTGGATATTTTGATGCTGGGTGGGAGAGGGAGCCAGGAAGAACCTTAAATTTTCCTCTTCCTCTTAGAATTTTGTGGAAACTTTGAAACTTCCAGAAGAATATTCAGATTACATTCTGACAGAGGAAAACTCACCCCAGACTTCAGAATAAAGAGTGCCTGTGTCTTGGAGCTCCCCCAAACCCCCTCTATTTTTAAAATGCTACAATAAATATTCTTCTCTTGACATAATTTCTGTGGGAAGCTGCAGAGCTCCACTGGCAAACTCCATCTGCTTCAAGCTCTTTGTGATTCCATCCAGCACCTCCTTCAGGAGGACAGGGCAGGGGATGGTCATTAAATAATCAGATTTAAATGGCATTAATGGTCTCCCTGTGCTTCAGCCATGCCAGGCAGCTGCTGCTGAGCTGGACAGTGGGAAGACATTCAGGGTAAAAGCAAAGTAACCTCTTCTCTCCCCATTTTTAAACATCAGTGAATCCAAACAGTGAATTTCCCAATTTTCTTTATTTTAGGAGAAAATCTCACATAGAAACACCTGAGAATCCTGTTCTAGAACACCCCTAATCCTTCCAAACACTGACTTATTGCCCCCCGAGTTCCAATCTGCCAGCAAAGTCTTCACCCAGGGCTCCTTCATGGCCCTCCTGCATTTCTGCAGCATAAATAACAAGCTGTATTAATAAAGCAGCTCTGGTGTGGGGATAATTCATTGCTGAGCTGCTGAAGCTCTAATTATCCCCCTTTAAAGCCTGCTGATTGCTAGGATAAATTTTATAGGCTTTAGTGCCTGACAAGAGCCACCTTGGGCTGTATTTCCTCCAGGAGTGACATTCCCTTTATGGGGTACACGTGGCAGTGTGGGGGAGGCAGAGAACCTGCACCCACTGCTCATTTCACACCTCCCTGTGCCCCTGAGCCCAAACCCAGAGCATTCCCTGTCCTCAGCTCAGCACAGCTGGAACCATCTCCAGAACATCCTTCCCCAAGGACCTGGATAAGCATTAATGGCGTTATGCTGCTAGGGGGTGGGGTCAGATGGGATTTTGGGAATTAGGAATGGTTCCCTGGCAGGGTGGGCCGCCCTGGCACAGGTGCCCAGAGCAGCTGTGGCTGCCCCTGGATCCCTGGCAGTGCCCAAGGCCAGGCTGGACACTGGGGCTGGAGCACCTGGGACAGGGGAAGGTGTCCCTGCCATGGCAGGGCGGGAATGGGTGGGGTTTGAGGTCCTTTCCAACCCAAACCATTTATGATTCCACGATTTTGGATGGCCAGTCAGTGAAACTGGCTGCCCAGTGCTGGAATCCCTGCAGTTTGTGGGCATGGACACCCCAGAGCTGAGGACAGGGCAGTGCCCACAGCCCCACGTCCCTCTGAGCCCCTGCCCTGCTGGGAGAGCTGCTGCCTCTGCACATCCCTTGGGATGTGTCTGGAAAGGGTCCCAGTTCCCAGGGGTGGCAGTGGGGACACTGACAGTGTCACCAGCCCCAGGGCTCAGGTACAGGACCCCAGTGCTGATTCTGCCATGGCTGCTGGGCCAGGGCACGGCTCCAGGGGCCTGCAGGGTCCCAGGAAGGGCTGCTCCTTACCCCCCTCTCCAGCAGCATGTCCCTGAAGTGGGTGATCCTCTCCTCCAGGGGCGGTGAGACCCGCGGGGCCGAGCCTTCCTCCCCTGCCTGCTCCTCCTCAGCGCCAGCCGGGCCCGCAGCCTGGCACTCCTCTGTTCTGGACAGGGCAACACAGACGGGGGTCAGCCACGCTCACCTGCACGGGGATTCATCCCTGGGTCCCTGAATCCTCCCTGGGACACCCCAGGAGCTCCCACGCTCACAGCTGGGCACCACACCTGGGGCTGGAGGGGCTGCAGCAGCTCCTGGAGGCGGGGGAGTCACTCGGGGCCACCAGAGGGATGTGACACCCAAACTCAATGTCCAGCAAAGTGAGAGCTTCATACAGCCCTTGCCAAGGAAGGGGACCTTAAAGGGGGCATTTTTTCATTATAAAAATCACAATAAAGGATCCAGTTCAGCACAGCTGTAATAATCCACTGAAGCCTCAGGTTTAGTTTTTCTATTTCAGATTCTGAGCTGCTTTAGTGTGTGGGTCTGGGTTCACACCAGGGGATGGTGAGCTCTGTGCACAGAGCAGGGAGACAAAACAATTCCTGCTCCAGCTGGGCACCAAGGACAAATGATCCAAATCTCAGCCCAGGAGCACAAACCCCGTGGGCTGCAGAGAGAAAAACAAGCAGGATGGGAGTGCAGGGGCTGAGCTGGAATTGGACACTGAACTGCAATGTGCACATGGAGCAGAGCTGATCCCAGGGAGAGACCCCGGGAGCGCTCGTGCATTTTGGGACCATTTGGGTTCATCCTGGGTGCAGCCCTGGCTGGGCTCTTGTGCTGCCCCAGGTGGATCCATGGAGGAGATCCTTGGAATCAATCCCTGCTTTGCTCTGTAACTCTGCCCTGCCTCTGCTCTGGGTCTTCTGACTTCTCAAAGCCTCCCCAGCACAAAGGCTGTGCCTGCCCTCTCAGAAGGACCTGGCACGGAGCTGGGCACTCTGCACAGCTCAGAGCTGCCTTTCCAGCTGTGCCTTCAGGAGAGGGTGAGGCACATGTGGGAATGAAGGTCAGCAACAGCAGCACCTGGGGCTGCTTCTGAGCCTGAGAGCAGGGAAAACCTGCTGCACTTGAGGGAGGGAAAGCTTTATCCAGTGCCTCTGGAATAACCCACAGCCTTGTCTGTAACCATTCGATAAAGGAAGAGTTCCCCAGACAAAACCAGGTGGTGTCCAGGGGAAACAGAGGCTGCAGAGAGTCCTGGCTCTGTGAGGACTGGACACCTGGAGAATGCTCCCATTGTTCACCCACACAGAACAAAAGTGCTTTAACTTGCTCTTCTGGTACCAGCCCTTCCCACCGTTAGACAGAGACATGGGAACTGTAGAACTTACTTATTTCTCTTGGTTTTGATGCTCAGATCGTCATTTTCATCCCCTGGACAAGAGCTAACACACTTGTCTGCTGAAAAGAAAGAAGTCATTATCAGATCTGAACGAGATAAATGGGGATACAAATTCCTCAGATTGACTTCTCTTCCCTGTCTCTGCTGCTCAGGTATTTCCTGGCTGTCACCTCCCACAGAGGGTTTTAGAAATAACAAGTATTTTATAAAATCCTCAGAATTGCCTTCATCCAGATGGAAGCAACAGCAATAAAGTGACCATTTCCAGCCAGCAAAATTCCTCATTTTTCATTCATGACATGATTGCTTTCAATCTTATTATTGTTTCACCTGATCCTCCCTCCTCCCTTCCCTTCAAAATGCAACTGAAGACATTCCTGCAAAGTCATTTCCCTGCTGGCAGCCTGAAGGATTCCCTGGAGGTAATTCTCCTGGCCCATTTCTCCTCCTGGGATCAGCCAGTCTCAGGCTGCTTTCCCAGGAATTCCAGCAGCACCTGGCAGGGCTGGGGAGATCCAAGAACCCCCAGGCTCCTGAGGCTGCAGAGCAGCTCCGAGGCCAGGTCACCCCCTGGTCAGGCCTGGACACGGGTCCTTGAGGGACTCAGAGCTTGGATTTTCAGGCACAGACAAGGGAAACAAATCTGAATTCCAAAACCTTTTTTGTTCACCTCTACCAGCTGCAGCTCTCACCAAAACCCCAAAGGGCACAGAAGTCCCAGCCCTGCTGTGCCTGCCCTGGAGGGTCCCCAGCACGTGGGCTGGCAAATATTTATGTGCTGGATCCAGGGATGGGCTTCAGACTCTTGGCTAAGTGCCAAAGGGCCCAAAATTCCTGGGGGAATTCAGTAAATGACATCAGTACTGGTTTCAGTAGGAGTCCTACGAACTGTGTCCAGGGCCAGGCTGGGCACTGGGAGCACCTGGGACAGGGGAAGGTGTCCCTGCCATGGCTGGGGTGGCACTGGGTGGGATTTGAGGTCCCTCCCAGCCCAACCATTCCATGATTTGGTGACTCCATAATGCCCATTTTCTATTAATTAGCTGGAAAGTCCTCCTCAGCCCAAGCAGCCAGGCAGACCCTGAGCAGCTGAGGAAGAGATCTCAGCAGATCAATGCTTTGGAGCAGCTGAGGAACTGATCACAGCAGATCAATGCTCTGGAATAGCTGAGGAACAGATCTCAGATCAATGCTCTGGAATAGCTGAGGAACAGATCTCAGCAGATCAATGCCCTGGAGCAGTGAGGAACAGATCTCAGCAGATCAATGCTCTGGGATAGCTCAGGAACAGATCTCAGCAGATCAATGCTCTGGAGCAGCTGAGGAACTGATCACAGCAGATCAATGCTCTGGAATAGCTGAGGAACAGATCTCAGCAGATCAATGCTCTGGAATAGCTGAGGAACAGATCTCAGCAGATCAATGCTCTGGAGCAGTGAGGAACTGATCACAGCAGATCAATGCTCTGGAATAGCTGAGGAACAGATCTCAGATCAATGCTCTGGAATAGCTGAGGAACAGATCTCAGCAGATCAATGCCCTTGAGCAGCTGAGGAACAGATCTCAGCAGATCAATGCCCTGGGCCCTGCAGGAGCTGCCCCTGCTCCCCAATCCATGGGATGGCCTGAGGGGACCCCATTAGGGAGTAGCCACATCAACCTCCTGGAACAAACACTTGGTGGAGGAGCAGTCACTAAGAAATGAGCAATTTCTCATTTATGCCCAAATTTAAAAAGCACTTGATCCTTCAGCAGAGACAACCCAGAGCGTCCCATGGAAAACTTTGCTTGAGATCTTTTTTTTTTTTAAGATGTTTGATTTGAAAATTCTATTTAAATCTCAGCAGCAGCCACTCAGTTAAATAAATGTGGGAAGCATTGCTGGGAACACTCAGCTCGTTTGTGTTATTTATTTACTGGAGGTTACAAGCTAAGAAAAGAGGTAACAAATAATCCCCCTCACCTCAGAGCTAATCTATACTAATTATGATCTGCTCCAACCCTGAGCAACCACAGGGCCCAATTATAGCAGGGAGGATTAAGACTATTTAACAACAATGGAAGTCATGGCCATAAAAAACCAGGAGCATGAATCAAATCTTTGTGGTAGAGATAATAAATGGAAAGGATGGAGCACAGCAAAAAATAGATTTCTGAAGTGGCACCTATCAGGACTGAGTTAAGACTCTTCTGTTAATTAATTACAGAGCAGGAACAATGATAGAGACCATAACAATGACCCTCAGCTTTGTGTCTGGCCATCCCTTGGCTGGAATTCACTGAGCTTGCAGCAGATCCTGCAATTTAAAGCTCTGTTTTTCTCCTGAAGAATGAATTTCAGCAGACAGGCTCTGGAGGAATTTCATCCACAGCTAAAGCTCTTCAAGCCACACACAAAAATTATACAGAAATGTATACACAAGCACCTGCTGTGGAAATTCAGAGAGAAAAATGGAATTACAGGCTGTGTCAGCTGGAGGACACAGAGAACCCTCCTTGGAGCTGCTCTTCTGCTGACAGAGAAGCTGAAAATGGCTCACTTTTATCTCCCTGCAGGCACGGGGCTGGGGGTTCTGTGGGATTTGCAGGGGTTCTCTGGGGTTTGCAGGGGTTATTTGGGGTTTGCAGGGGTTCTCTGGGGGTTCTCAGTGGTTCTTTGGTGTTTGCAGAGGTTCATTGGTATTTGCAGTGGTTAGTTAGGGGTCTTCAGTGGTTATGTGGGTTTGCAGGGGTTCTCTGGGGTTTCTAACAGTTATTTGGGGTTTGCAGGGGTTGACTGGCAGCTGTCCCCCTGGACCAAAGCCATTGCCCATCCCTGCTGCCCAGGGGGCACAGGGCAGGCCCTGCAGCAGCCTGGCAGTGCCACCAGCCCCATTCAGTTTCAAAACACAGCACCTGGAAACAACCACAACAGTCCTGCTTCTTTCCCCCTTGACTTTTCTCCCTCCCCACTAAGGAATGAGCAGCAGCTGGAGGAGGTGACTGTTCTTTCACTACCAAAAACCAGAATACTGAAGAATCCCAGCAGCCAGCCAAGGCCAGGAGCAGTTCCAAGGACTGCCATGGCTGATGTCCCCAGCAAGGGACACCCCTCCAGAACGGGCAGTGTGGAGCCTCAGGAGCTCTGGCACGGGACACAGCAGCTCCCAGGAGCAGGGGAGCCTTTCCCCCAACCCTCCCTGCTGGGATTTCCCCCTGCCCAGCTGGGCTGGGTGATCCTCGGTGCTTTGGGAGCAGGCAGTGATGGCAATGCCCGCCCTGACCTCGGGCAGCGAAACACACACTGCCCCCTGACAGGGGCTGCACCAGCAGAGATCCAGCTCCTGCACCAGGCCTCTGCTGCTTCTCTGCCAGTGAAACAGAGATTTTCGGACAAGGAGGAGGCCCAGTCCCCCAGCCCAGCATTCCAGGGAAAACAAGGAATTTGTGAGGAACATGGATTTTCCCTCCCTCGGGAATGCCCCCGGGCCACCTCTCTATCTCCGGGTCTCACACCTCCAGGAGCACACCCAGCCCTGGCTCCGGGGGCTCCCACAGTTCGGGGAGAGGGAACAAGGCCAGGTTTGGTTACTTGCTGCAGCCTCCAGCTTGCGTTTGTGCGGGGGGTCCTCGAGCAGCCGCTTGATGTCCCCGCGGTGCCGCAGGTCCAGCGGCCGCTCCCACACCGACAGCTGCATGGTGGGGTTGAAGAAGAACACCCGGTCATCTCCAGTCCAGACCACACACCTGCTCCAAGCGACACACCAGCCTCAGAGCCCGGCCAGGGACCAGCAACGTGCCCACAGCGGGGCACCGCAGCCCTGGGACACCCTGGGACACCCCAAAGACATCCTGGGCACACCCTGGGACACCCAGGGACACCCCAGAGACACCCTGGGCACACCCTGGGACACCCCAGAGACACCCTGGGCACACCCTGGGACACCCCAGAGACATCCTGGGCACACCCTGGGACATCCCAGAGACACCCCGGGACACCCCAGAGACACCCTGGAACGCCCAGGGACACCCCAAAGACACCCTGGGCACACCCTGGGACACCCAGGGACACCCCAAAGACAACCTGGGCACACCCTGGGACACCCCAGAGACACCCAAAATCCTGGAGATGTACATCCTGAATTTATATGTAAATAAACAAAGACAATTTCCATGCCAGGCACCTCCTGAATCCCAATGAGAGCTAAACCCCCCTGGCTAAGGCACACACACTGCTGGGAGGAAAATGTGCCTGGCTCTGAAGCAAAAACACCTGGAAGGAACAAACCTTACAATTACGAGCTCTGATGCTTAATTGTTATTAAAAGCAGGGAGTAAAGCTGGGTTTAAAAGGGTCTGGTCCGGGTAAAGGACTGGAAATAGGAAGAGTGCTCCCTCACTGCAGGAGGTATAAAATTACCCAGCACACCCTGTGCAGGACAGGTAAGATCCCACAAAACTGGCTGTACAAACCCACGGGAGGTTTGGCATCCTGGATTCAGTGACATGCATGTGACAAATATCTTTAATCACCTTTCTAACTCATTATCTGTGTAATCTTATATAATATATATCCCACATACTACAAATACTGCATGAATACTTCATGTTTCTTTCCCTGCACAGTGGTTTGGATCACAAACCTCTGGCTCTCTCACATAAGAGGTTCTTTCTCAGAACTGGAATGATTTGGAAGAGTTCTGGGCTATGGGAAGCTCTGTTCTCCCAGAAACCCTGAGCCCCTCCTGGAGAGCACCACGGGGATGGGCAGGAACAATCCAAAGCAAGGCTCCAGAAACACCCCAGGTCTCCCAGAAGGAAGGGGAAATTGGGATGGGCAAGAACAGTCCAAAGCAAGGCTCCAGAAACACCCCAGGTCTCCCAGAAGGAAGGGGAAATCAGGAATTCAGGCAAAGAGACAGCTGGGCTGGCAGGGTCAGATGGATCCCTGGGTGTGCCCAAGGCCAGGATGGGTGGGGCTGGGAGCAAAGATCCCATGGTGTCAGCCCCCAGGTATAAACTAAATAAACTAAACCAGGTATACACTAATTATTCTAGGGGTAAAGGGCATAAAAATCCCCCTATCAACCACTCAGGCCACAAAGTGCAGAAGGGTTTGTGTTTAAAAATGCCATGAGAGCTTGACCCAGCTGCTGCTGTCAGTGCTCGGGGCACGAGCCCCACGAGGCACAGCCTGTGTCAGACACCCCCTGCACCATGCAGGGCAGGCAGGGTCACCCAGTGCCACCAAGGAGCTGGGACAGGCAGGAGCTGGCCCTGGAAAGCAGCAGCATTTATTAAAAACTGCGCTGCTGCTCCCCTGTGCCCCAGCCCGAGCTGCCCTGCAGGTTTGGCTGCTGCTCCCTCCCTCACCCTCCTCAGGCCACGGGGCATGGAAAAGCTCTGCCAGGAGCTGCCAGCCACGCTGCTGAAGCCCCTGGCAGTGCTGTGCCAGCCCAGGGAGGCTCCTGGGGAGGGCTGGCACACGGGAAGGGCCCTGGCAGCTGCTCACCACGGCGATCCTGGCACCGGGGCCGATGCCACGGGCTTGTTACCGCTGGAAGCGCTGTCAGCCTGGCTCAGCAGCTTGAAGGAGTGATCCTGGGGACACAGAGGGATGAGTTAGCAAACAGAGCAGTGCCCAGAGCTGCTCCCGGGGTACAAATCCCCCTCAGCCTGCAGGGGGTCACCCCGTGGCCAGAATTGCAGGAGAGGCGTTGTGGCCAGCCAGCTGCCTCTGGAGCAGCCCAGAGAAATGGGGATTACAAAAACGCCTCCCCACTTAGAGCAGCACGTGGGAAAAAGCAGCCAGGCAGCTCTGTCCATGCCAGCAGCTCCCAGGGCACAGTGGGTGAGGGACACCCCGAGGGTGGCACCACCAGGACAGGACCCATCCCGGGAGTAGGGGGTGCTCCCCGGGGCCAGGGGGGTCTGTGCCAGCCCTGCTCCTTCCAGCAGCTCCTCTGGGACTGCTCAGGGACATCACCATGGCACGAGGGAGTGACTGTCCCCCAGCTGCTCCTCTGTCCCCAGCACACAACAGAAACATGTCTGGAGCTGCTGGAGGGAGTCCAGAGGAGGCACCAAATGATCCCAGGGCTGGATCCTCTCTGGGACACCTGGAGAGGAGCAGCTCCAGGGAGAGCTCAGAGCCCTGCCAGGGCCTGAAGGGGCTCCAGGAGAGCTGGAGAGGGACTGGGGACAAGGCATGGAGGGACAGGACACAGGGAATGGCTCCCACTGCCAGAGGGCAGGGATGGATGGGAGATTGGGAATTGGGAAATGTTCCCTGGCAGGGTGGCAGGCCGTGGCACAGGGTGCCCAGAGCAGCTGTGGCTGCCCCTGGATCCCTGGCAGTGCCCAAGGCCAGGCTGGACACTGGGGCTGGGAGCGCCTGGGACAGGGGAAGGTGTCCCTGCCATGGCAGGGGTGGCACTGGCTGGGATTTGGGGTCCTTTCCCACCCAAAATGCTCTGGAACTCCATGGGGACCAAACCAGCCCTAAGTGTCCCCTGATCCCCTGACAATGCCAGAGCTCTGCACATCTCCAGGGTAAATGAAATCCATGGCTCTTTAAATTCCACAGCAGGGAAGGATCCTGAGTGTCCAGCCCAGCCCTGACCCAGATCTGTGCAGCTCAGGGCTCCCAGGGGCTCTGGAAGGGGCTCCAGGTCACACCTTGTCACTGTCACTGCCCGTGGGGACACTCTTCCTCTCCGTGTGCAGGATCAGCGTCGGGGGGCAGGCGGCTCTGCTGGGGTCCTTGCCACGCTCTGTGAGGGAGAGGAGCTCTTTTAACCTGCATAAATAAACTCACAACCAGCCAAAGCTGCTGAAGAGCCCCAGACTGCTGCCCGTGGCTCTGAGCCCCAGACTGCCACTCGTCCCCTTCAGTCACACCCCTGTGCCCAGCGTGCATCTCCTCTCCAGAGCCCCCATTTCAGTGGGACACATCCCCAGGACACATCCCCAGGGACACTTCACCCCTGGCTGGGCAGGGCTGGTTCATGGCTGGCCTCCAGGAGCTCGGGGGGGTTTTCCAAGCTGAAGCATTCCCGATTCTCTCCTCCCCCCGGGCATCCCCTGTTCCCAGCCCACGGGTCCTGCCCTGCTTGGTACCCCCTGTGGGAGTGCCCAGGGAGTGCTGCATCGATTGCCACTGCACGCAGGAAATAACATTTCCCTCCTCTGCAGAGGGCTGTCTCCATCCTGAAATCCCAAACCCTGAGCTGTCTGCTGCCTGTGATGGCAGAGGGGACAGCAGGGAAAGGCAGGCAGGCAGCAGGGGTGGGACAGAGCCAACATCCCAACAAAGGAGGGTGCACAGGAAGACGGTAAGAAATACGGGATTGTCTTAATTTGGGGTTTTTGTCTGCTTGTCCTCTTCAAACACATATTGGGGGTCTGAGCTGAGGTGGGCTTGCTGGCCCATCCCTCCTGCAGCAGGGGGGACAAGGTGTGTGACACCCCTCTGTACACCCCCCATTCCTGGGGGTGTCCCCTGCCCCCTCCCACGTGTCCCTGGCTGCCCCTGGGTGTCCCAGGCCAGGCTGGACACTGGGGCTGGGAGCACCCAGGACAGGGGAAGGTGTCCCTGCCATGGCAGGGGTGGGATGGGATAAGGGATGGGATCAATGGGATGGGATCAATGGGATGGGATCAATGGGATAAGGGGATGGGATCAATGGGATGGGATTCCATGGGGCAGATTCACCTCGAAATGCTACTCCAATTATTTCAAAATTCCTCTGGGTACAGAACAGACCCCCATTTCAGTCTGCTTCCCTCGGAATATCTCAGAATAATACAACATGAAATCCATGGCATTTTGCTCAGAAGATGGCTTTATGGGAGCAAAAAAGAAGATTTACAAACCAGAGCCGTTAATTTCCACATTAAAGGAGCCAGGAGCAGGGAGCTGCTGATACACATCAGAAAGGGCTCAAAATTCATCTTCCCTCCCTGGATATCTGGTAATTGGGAATCAAAGCCTTCCCAGGCACTTTGGTGCTCTGGACACAGGAGGTGACACCGGTGTCAGTGCCCCCTCCTGCTGGGAGGGGAAGGACAGCCCTGAGCAAGGCCTGGCACAGAGGGTGGCACAGAGCCACTGCCAGGGGACCAGCAGTGCCCCAGGGAGCCCTGAGAGGGCACAAGCAGTGGCCAGGGTGACAGTGGTGCTTCTACACTCACCATTGATTTGAAAGCAGCCATGCATTTCATCCATGTGAAATACAGGGTGAATCTCATCCCACAGGCACGTGGGCTCCAGGGACAGGAAACATTCCCTGCCTTTGGAAGCTCTGATACAGATCATGGCATGGGTTGGGTGGGAAGGGACCTTAAATCCCCTCCAGCGCCACCCCTGCCATGGCAGGGACACCTTCCCCTGTCCCAGCTGCTCCCAGCCCCAGTGTCCAGCCTGGCCTTGGGCACTGCCAGGGATCCAGGGGCAGCCACAGCTGCTCTGGGCACCCTGTGCCAGGGCCTGCCCACCCTGCCAGGCAGGAATTCACAGATGTCAGCTGCAGATGGAAACTGAAACAGGAGCAGACCCAAAGCACAGAGCTCTGGGCTGTGCAAAGGCAAGTCCAACCCAGAGCAATTGCCTTGGTCACTGCTCAGTGAGGATGAGGCTCAGAGCAGGGAGGTGCTGCTGTGGGCACAGAGCCCCTCTGCTCCTGAGGGGACACTGCTGCAGCACCCAGGCAGCCTCTGCACCCTCCTGGGACATTTCCCTCTCCTTTTCCTTCCTGGGAATCTCCCTCTCCTTTCTCTCCTGGAATTCTCCCTCTCCTTTCCCCCCTGGGAATCTCCCTCACCTTTCCCTCCTGGGAATCTCCCTCACCTTCCCCTCCTGGAACATCACCCTCTCCTTTCCCTCCTGTGAATCTCCCTCACCTTCCCCTCCTGGAATATCACCCTCTCCTTTCCCTCCTGAGAATCTCCCTCACCTTTCTCTCCTGGGAATCTCCCTCACCTTTCTCTCCTGGGAATCTCCCTCACCTTTCTCTCCTGGGAATCTCCCTCACCTTTCCCTCCTGTGAATCTCCCTCACCTTTCTCTCCTGGGAATCTCCCTCACCTTTCTCTCCTGGGAATCTCCCTCTCCTTTCCCCCCCTGGAAAGCTCCCTCCCAGCACAGCAAGGCCCAGGGAGCCCCCTGGGTGCTGCAGCCATGGTGAGCTCTGCAGCAGGCAGCTCCCCGGGCATTCCCGTGTGGAACACGCTGCCACAGCACTCTGGGCATCGGCAACGAGAAAAGAGGATGGGAATAAAAAAAATTTAAAAAAAGAAAAAAAGAAACAGCAACCAACCAGTAAAATGGAACAACAAAGGGAAGCCCTGAAGGCTGTGCACAGCAGGAGCCGTTCAGTTTGACACCTGCAGTTGAACACTGAGTGTTTGCCCGCAGTGCAAGGGAAAGAGGAAAACAATCCGAGGTTGTTCCTCCCTCCCCAGGCTCGGGGATCCCCCTGGAGTGGGGCTGGCCGTGCCAGGGAGGAGCCCCAGGATCTCCTGCTTCCCAAGGGAACCCCAGTCAGTGTCGCCCATCCCTGGAGACCTACCCTCCTGTGCCCACGCTGGGAGGGACCAGCACCAGGTGCTCACAGGGCACACCTTCACTCTTTGCTCGTTCATTAACCTCTCCCCCATCCTCAGTGCTCAAACTGAGCTGCAGCCTGCCAGTGCAGCCAGCATGAGACATTTCCATCTCCTTTTTCACCCCAAAGTCAGCAGCACAGCTAGAACTGGTGAGTTCTGCTCGTGCTGGAGGATGAGGGGAGATGGAGATAAAGGCTCCTGATTAAAGAGGCTTCTCACCAGCACAGGGACATGAATAATTCACAGCATGGCAAGCAAAGGTGAAACTGCAAAACTGCCTTGGGTATAGCACAGAGGATGTTGGGTGTGATCACAAACGTCTCACATCTCGTTAAAAGCAGAATTAGAGAGGAAGGGGAAGAGGGAAGATGGATTCATGCCATGAGGAGCTGTGGACAAGGCACAGTCAAAATTTGTTTCGTAAAAATATGCAGAGGCCAAACCTGCATTAATCTCAAAAAAGTTTAACAGTTTGACTCTTAAGTGCTCCCAAGGACTGGATTTATTAAGTACACACATCCCACACTGTGGGGTTTATCCTCCCCCAGCATCTCCACAGGCCAGCTCTGTCTGTCCCCACAACCTCATGGCTCTGGTGTTTGAGATCAGCCAAACCCTTCCCTGACTGATCCCCAGCTCCTCCTCTGCTGGCTTTTACTCAATCCAAGCGTGGGATCCCAGCTCTGCTCCCACCAGGCAGGTCCTGCCCCAATCCAGGCACTGGGATCCCAGCTCTGCTCCCACCAGCCAGGTCCTGCCCTGCTCCAGGCACTGGGATCCCAGCTCTGCTCCCACCAGGCAGGTCCTGCCCCAATCCAGGCACACAGCTCCCTCCTGCCCATGCTGCTTTCCCCTTTAATTCTTTCTTTGCTGCTCTGAGCATTCCTGCTGTGCCCTCCAAGTGCTTCTTTCCCCTCTCAGAACAAATCTCTTTGAGCTGAGCTTTTCTCCCCCTGCAGCAAACAGTGCCCACCCTCCCTGTCATTGTTCAGGGGATTTGGAGGGGGAACAGGAGAGGAACCCAGACAAATTCTGTGCTGGGGTGGAGTTCAGGGACAAACTCATTCCATGGCTGGATTTCCCAGGGACACAGCCACGCTGCCCAAGAGCTGCTCTTTGCCACTGCCCTGGAAATCATGAACCACAGCCCGCTTTGGGTTGGGAGGGACCTTAAAGCCCATCCAGTCCCACCTTTGCACTGTCCCAGGCTGCTCCAAGTCCTGCCCAGCCTGGCCCTGGACCCTGGCAGGGCTGGGGCAGCCACAGCTCCCCTGGCGTGGGGGGTCAGGGGTTATATCTGAACTGATCCCTAGGGATTCCTGATAAACACCTTTTTTCCCCCAGAACATGTCTGGGAAGGTGCCCTCAGAGCCCCGTGGTGCCTCCAAGGTGACAGTGGCAGCCCGTCCTGGGCAGAGTGGCCCAGGTCAGGAAGCAGCAGCACAGCAGAGCCCCAGCACATCTGGGGGTCCCACCCCTGAGGACAGGGCTCAGCCTGGCTGCAAGGACACAGAGCGTGGCATCCCTGCCCTTCCAGCCACGGGGACAGCACCCACCTGCTCGTGCCTGCTCCAGCAGGTTGGTGGCCATGAGGGTGACGGGCGCGGCCAGGGCGGTGACACGGGTGACCTGTGCTGGCACCAGGGGCCCCACGGCACTGTCCAGCCTGGAGGCAGAACCTGCGGGCAGACACAAGGGCAGAGGGGAATTTTCCCCGGTAAATAACAATTCCCTTTAAAACCCTCAGCCTTTGTGCCCAGCCCTGGCACTGGAGGCCGTGGGCAGCGCTGAGCACCCGCTGGGTGCTGCTCTGGCAGCTGCTCCTGGCCATCTCAGGGAGCTTTTCCAGCCTCAGTGACTCAGGGAACCCATCTGCTGAGCACATCTCCTGCCCCCACTGCAGGGTTAAAACAAGGTTTGTGTTCAGCTCGATTCCTGGCCACGATGCCCACGGATCTTCAGCCAATAAACAGTGCCAGAAATTTAAAATTAATGAACGTGTGGCCCTCAAAGTAAGAATTTGCCAGGATAGATCAATGCCCTCCCAGCAGGTCACAGCAGGATCAGTGTTCTCATTTTAAGTAACACTCCTCTGGTTTCCACTGCTACTCATCACAACTTCTCGGTGTCCCACTCTATCCATGGGAAATTATTTTGCCAATACTTTAAAAGTGTAACTTTATCCAGGGCCTCAGTCTGCTGGGCCGAGGCCCAAAGCAGAAACTCTGGTTTGCTCACGTGCATCATTCATGAGGAACCAGTAATCCAGGGCTGCTGCTGGAAGCTGGCCAGTTAAACCAGGCTCCCCAGTCCTGCAGAAGAATTCCTGCCTGCTGCCATAGCTGAGGTCCAGCCTGGAGCACTCATTCCCAATGAAGTGGGAAGTTTTTCAGGAGCTGAGCCACACAAGAGCCCCCCAAGCCCATCCCCTGGCAGGGCAGAGCCACGTGTCCCAGCAGCAGTGCCCAGCTCCCATTTCCCAGCCACCACTGCCGGTGCCATTGGTTGTATATTCATAGCTGTACATCCCATCCCTGCTTCAAGGCAGACTGGGAATGTCACAGTTCCCAGCACAGTCCAAGCTGCAGGATTTCCTGTAGCTCCTTTCACCAGCCACTCATGGGCCATCAGACAGCTCCCATCCCAGCTTGTGCACATTCTGGAATAAGATGGATCACTTCTGAAACCTTCAGTCTGTTACAAAAGCCCACTCGCACACTCTGAACGCTCTCACGGATCTGTGTTCCAAAAATTCCAGGTGCCACAGCACAATATTCCAACACAGAACATGGAATCCCAGCCTGGTGTGGGCTGGAAGGACCTCAAAGCCCACCCAGTGCCACTCCTGCCATGGCAGGGACACCTTCCCCTGTCCCAGGCTGCTCCAAGCCCCTCCTTGGGTTCTATGAATTCTCTACACCCAAAACTGGAATGATTTCCATAATTTGCATAATTATCCCCTGCAATTCCAGCAGCACTGGAGACAAGCTCTGCTCGCTCCCCACCTCGGCTTCTGCCGCCTCTCGAACGTGACATGCCATTATATCATTTCAGCTGCTTCTTTCTGTTGATTTATTACCCAATCCAGGAACAATATCAGTGCATCTTTTGATGTGATGGAAGCAATTATCCCACGGCTTCCATCCGCACCAGAGTCAAGTAGATATAAATATATATTTATATACACATATATATGCATTTCATACATGCAGATGGAGTTCAACTGCTTATTTTAATTATAACTGCTGCTCCCCAAATAAGCTGGAATGATTTAAGGCAATCTTAACCTTTAAGGAATAAATATTTATGCTTTGGAGCTCTTTGTGCTCATGAAGAGCAGTCTTTGCAATGGATGGCTTTGGAATACAAATACAGCCTGATGGAGTTGAATGTCACGACGCAATCTCAGCCTCTGCTCTGAACTGAACATAACCTGGGCTGGAATTACACCTGAGTGTGAGCCCACACTCCATGCTTTATGATTACATTTAGGCCAATTTTACTCTAAAACAATTCTGAGGAGGGGGAGGGAGGAGGAAAGGGCTCCTGTGAAGTTTTGGGTGCTTGCAGAGCCAGGGCAGGCTGATGAGCCAGAGGTGCCTCTGGAGAACATCTGCCCTTCCTGGGATCCTTTCAGCCTTTTCAGCACCTTCACACACAGCCACCCTTCTTCCATGGGCTGCAGCAGGACAGGGGGCCAGGGCAGAGGGGAAGGAGGTGAGAGGGACAAGGTGAGCAGGGACAGGAGGAGGTGACAGGGACAAGGTGAGCAGGGACAGGAGCAGGTGACAGGGACAGGAGGTTACACAGACAAGGTGTGCAGGGACAGGAGGAGGTGACAGGGACAAGGTGAGCAGGGACAGGAGCAGGTGAGACACGAGGGGGTGGAAAGGAGGCAGGCTGGTCCATGCCCAACACAGATTTATCCCCCGATCTCTCTGGTGCCTGCCCTGTTTGCCAGCCCATCCCTGGCCACGGCTGGCACTGAGCTCCTGGCAGTGACACAGCTGAGATCCTCCCTGGGCATCACTGGCACTGACACAGCTGAGATCCTCCCCAGCCCCTTCCTGGGCACCAGTGGCACTGAGCTCCTGGCAGTGACATGGCTGAGATCCTCCCTGGGCACCAGTGGCACTGACACAGCTGAGATCCTCCCCAGCCCCTCCCTGGGCATCACTGGCAATGACACAGCTGAGATCCTCCCCAGCCCCTCCCTGGGCACCAGTGGCACTGACACAGCTGAGATCCTCCCCAGCCCCTCCCTGGGCACCAGTGGCACTGAGCTCCTGGCAGGGGCTGTCTGAGGTTCCTTCCCCAGCCCGTGGGATGTGCAGAGTGCCTGCAGCAGGAGCCAGCATTCCCTGCCCGGTGCTGCAGGGAGAGCACAGCTCCTCACACCAGCAGTGCCAGCATTTCCCTCCCACCCTCCCTCCTGCTGCTTGGGAGCTGGGCTTGAGCGAGAGGAAGAAGCAGGGCAGAGTTCAGAGCTGCTGCTGGAGAGGAGAAGAGCCCTGAGCACTGAGATGAGGCTGAGGCATCAGCACAGAGCCCTGGCCGAGGTGAGGCAGGCCCACAACGCCCAGCCTGGCGTGCTGAGGGACGTTCCAGGCAGAGCAGAACGGGCTGCAGGGAGGGCTGGGGAGGGGGATCAGGATAAATCCATATCTCATCCAATTCTGGCACTTCTGGGACATCACAGGGGAGGAGTTGGCCCACTCCCAGCCCCACGGTGGGGACAGCAGCCCAGCTGGGATCAGGAAATGCCACAGTCACTACAGTTGGAAAGCACCTTCAAGACTATCAAGTCCAGCCAGCAGCACCACCATGGTCACCATTAAGCCACATCCCCAGGTGCCACATCCACTCTGAAATCCCTGGGGACTCCACCATTCCCTGTTCCAGTGCTTTACAGCCCTTCCATGAAAACCTCCCCTAATTTCTGCTCTAAGCTGCCCTGCCTGCCCTTGAGGAGCCCCCAGCGCTCACCCTGCTGTACCCCACTGTCCCCAGGCACAGGCAGGAGGAGTTTGTGACATCCTGAGGCACCACCAGGCAGGCTAATGGGAAGGAGCAGGGAAATCAGTAATTGCAGCCACTGTCTGACAGGCAGGCCCAGAAATGCACCCAGTCATTTTTATTAGAGCTGCTCTCACCTCCTGACCCCAGAAGGTGCTGGAGATCAGGGCCCAGGGACTTGCTTCATTTAGAAGCACAGTCCATCCTGATGAGATAATTTGGGGCAGTCCTGCCTATCTGCAAAGGACAAGAGAATACTCTTTGCTTGAAAAAAAGGAGGAATTGAGCAGCAATTAAAAAAAATCGATTTTTTCCCAAGCAGGCAGCATCCTCCAGCTCCATGCAGCCCCTCAGCTCTGCTCCCCCTTCCCCTCAAGGACACACCACGCTGCTGCTCAAGGCAGCTCCTGCTGGGGAAACACGAGGCTGCCCAGGAGCCACCTCTGAGAAATTTCCCTTCCTTCCTCTGCTCCTTTGTAAGGCCCAGACACGTTCATTAAAAGCATTCAGCACTTTCTGAATGTGATTATGCCCTTCCCTGTGCCTCAGCCCTGGGAACGTGTGGTGTTTCCTGAGCAGCAGCTGCCCTTGGCTGCCTGCACAGGCACAGGGCTGCTGGGGAGAACACCCCAGCACAGCTGGCACAGCTGGCTCAGCACAGCTGCCCTGCCCCAAGCTCAGCCCCAGGGTGAGCTGGAGCTCCCTGGGTGATGGAGAGAGCCCCCAGCCCCTGCAGTGCTTTGGGAGCCCACAGCCACCCAAATGGGGCTGGGAATGGCCATCCCTGCTTGCCCTTTGTGCTGGAGCCAGCCCAGGGGCCACAGGGGATGGATGGCACAGCTCTGCCCCTCAGTCCCAGCTGGGAACAGAAACTGCAAACCCAGCAGCCAGGGGCACACAGGGCTGGGCTGGGAGAGAGGGACACAGCAGGCACACAGAGCACGCACACAGCCCCGGGGTGCCAGGCTGCTGTGGGCTGCAGGGACCCCAAATCCCACCCAGGGACACCTCCCACTGTCCCAGGTGCTGCCAGCCCCAGTGTCCAACCTGGCTTGGGCAGTCCCCGCACAGCCCAGGGGCCACTTCCATCAGCAGTGAGGGAAAAGGAGGAGAATTTTATAAATCAGACTCTTCTGCTCTCCTACCCAGTCAGAAGCAACCCTCGAAATCAGCATCCCTGGTTTTGGCAGAACGACCCAAACTGCTTTGCTCGCCTTCATCCACCTGTGCTTTATGTTTGTTTGGGTTTTCCCATCTTCAAATTGAAAAAAGGGTACTGAAATTTCTGCTGAAGAGCTCCTTTTCTGCTGCACTGGCAGTGACAAAAAGAATCCACTCATGACCTGGAGGGGAGCACAGGAGAATGACAAAGAGCTGGAAGGTGAGGAGTGACAGCAGCAGGGATGTTTGGCAGGGCAGAGCAGGCATGGCACAGCCTGGCACTGGCACAGGGCACTCGAGGCCATCACAGGGATTGGGAGAAGCAGGATTTTGGCACAGAAACCCTTTGGGTTATTTTAGCTTAAAATTGATGGTATAGAATCCAAGTCACCCCATTGGATTCCATCAGATGAATAAACTGCCCTGGAAGGAGCTCAGAAAATCAGTGAAGGGTCCTCTGTCTCTGGTAAAATGAAAAATAAACACATGAGGCACAGAAGTG